CAGGTGATACATAATCAGTATTCCACAACAACAAACTAATCATGGCTGAAGCTAGTTAACCATTAACTGAAACTTATCATCCATCAGTGATGGCTGATATGAGCACCAGCATAGATTGATAAGAGACATGTTTGTGTTATGTTACATAATACAGATGTTTTGAAAAGGACAGACTTTATGATTTGCTTTTTATAGCAAACATGTTCTCTTTTTTTCTGTTTTATTATGTTTTATCCTCTGAAATTATTTGCCACACACACCTGAAGCTTTTTTTTTCATACACACAATACATAAACAAAGCTAAAATAGCAAGTTTTCATTATTATTTTTAGGATTCTACACAGACATCTAAATACATTAATTAAWCAGAATTTTGCTTGTCCCAGGATGGCTCCAGAGGTGGTGATGTGTGAGACAACAAAGGATGCTCCGTATGATTACAARGCTGACATCTGGTCTTTAGGAATTACTCTGATTGAGCTTGCACAGATCGAGCCCCCACACCATGAACTCAACCCCATGAGGGTCCTCCTGAAGATCGCAAAGTCTGAACCTCCCACCCTGGAACAGCCATACAAATGGTGAGGATTTTGAAYGTTGGTTGAAAACTCCAAGGGAGAAGAAAAAAATAGGACTGCATAATTCATTCTACAATGTGAAAGCTAACATCATCTTAAATCTTTGAAGTTTAATTTTCTCACTAAATTTTTGCACATTTTGTGTACAATACATTCTAATTATCCTATGTGTCAGATTGTCCTTTCCTTTCTCCACCTGGAAATTATTATTTTCCCAAAAGTACAACAGCAACGTAGCAGAAAGTCATGACTTGACCAAATTCCAAACTGTAACTCTTGCTATCAACTTTAATGTTAATGTTCCTTTGGAGCGAATTTATTGCTGCAAAAGCAAAGTTATCAGGGGATAGATTGCTGAGTCATCGTTCCTGCTGGAAGTTATGGTTTTATAAAACACAGATGTGCACCGAGATCCAACATCCCATATCCAGAAATGTTTGTTCAAAATGTTATTATTTAGCAGTTTTTTCATCCCTTCATCCTTTCTGCACTTCTTTTTTTTTCTTTTTTTGTTAAAATGAAATTGTGTTTCACGTTTKTCCAAGGTCAAAGGATTTTAACGATTTCTTGAGGAAAGCTTTGGACAGAAACCCAGAAACTCGTCCAACTGCATCACAACTCTTAGAGGTAAGAGCTGCTGTATGTAATTACAAACTAGAGATTATCTTGTTGTGTTGCACTTTGACACATCATGAAACACAGATTGATYCTTTCTTTCTTTTTTTTTTGTCATTAAAATGAAAGTGCCTCAGACACAAAATGTTTGGAATAAATTGGAATGCATTATTGGAAAGATAACATTAAAAACACATCGACCAAAAAATAAAAATCTCACCCCTGAGATGAACAGTTGAGATATTTGCACGTTAGGGAACAGGAAGTGATGCCAAAGGGGAATGTCTGCATGTGAACAGAGCATTGCTACAACAAATAAAACAGACTGTAGGGAAAAATCTGAGGTTTCCTTAGATTATTTTAAGTCAATATCAGAGAGATGAAAAGTCAGAGTTAAAACAAAATTGTTTTAATGAACAAAAATTATGCAGTTTCATTTCATAAAGAGTTCCCATTTGATGTCACTTCCTATTTCATTTTGGTTAAGCTAAATTCAAAATAAACATGTTAGTTATGTGACAAAATGGGTAGAATCATGTGAATTATTATCAAGTTTCTTAAATATAAATATGTTTCCTTTGACTTTTTGTATTTGAAGGATATGTAGGTCACAGGCACTTTAATGTTGTAGTTTAAAACCTGAAGAAAATGATTTGTTCTGGGGAAAAGCTTACTGTTCCCTGGAGAGAACATGAATGTAAATAAAATAATTAAATGATAATAAAAAGTAGAGAACGGGACATCAGGCTACATAATTATGTCAGTTGTAAAGAGACTGCCTTTCATGTTTTAGAGAGAAGAAAAGTATGTGATTATAAAACCCTTGATTCCCTAACAGATCTGCCTAAATTCATGTTGGGGACAATGTTGGAGAAAAACTCAAATGTTTCCTTTCAGGTACCAAAATAGTTCATGGTGTGTTTTATTTTTAGGAATGCCGATATTTAAGTAATGCAGAAGTGCTATGATCTTGAGTCAGGAAAAAGAAAAAAAAATCAGAGAAGCTGTAAACTGGGTGTGGATTATACAACAAGTACCATCTATTAAAACTCAGAGGCACAGTTTCCTGTCTGTATCCCACAGCTGAGGGAATGCCAACTATTTACATTCCAACTTTCAGCCAATAGCATGCTGGGACCACCCTCAGCAAGCGACTGTATGTCAATTAGAAAATGAAAATCTGAATCCCAAACCTGCTGGATAGAGGTTAAGTGGGGGAAGGGATGGGCGCGGTCTGGTTTTGGTGCTCTGTAGGACGTTTTAGATGTTTATCATGCCTGTTGCCCCCAATGTCTGTAGATATTTTGACAATGGAAGCCTTTCATTCTGCTGTGCGGTGGATGTAAGATGATGATGGYGAACCTAACTTAAACTTACATCACATGTCTGTGCAACAGGTTTGATTTCATACTTTGCAGTGCAGGTATTCACTGAAGTGAACAGCTGTTGAAATAGCACTGACTAAATAAAAAAAAATACGAGTCATTGTGTCTGCAGACTAAACTAAGATCAATAAGATCGAGGGTAATAAAAGGAGGAAGACTCGAGTGTCTTCCTGTAGAGACTGTTTACAGAACAACATGACTCAGTATCAGTCACTTGGTTGTTTGGCTGGCTGCAGAACATCTGGAGGACTTAGTGCACATTACACTGTGAGCAGCTTCTCCTCCCACATAGTTTTATAGCACGTTTTTTTTCCTCTTCTTTTGTAGCTTTTGATGTCAGTAATGAAATAATTCTTTGATAGTACTAACTTGCAGCAGTAAAGTCCAAATTGTTTAAAGCGATATTTTATGTGATCATCCAGTAGTGCGACATAAAAATCCCATATTTTGAACTTTTGAGTTAATACTGTTAACCTCTGACACTCTCCTCAAAGACGTGAGAACTGAACACTTTCTGTCTTGACATAATGCACGTTTCTTTGCCCATCACTCATTGTAAGCTTCCTGGTCTTGCAACACACTGGATCATGTTGTTTGCATTTAAAATTTCACACCATGCATGACAAATACTCAATCCTTGAGTCCAGACACCATGAAACAAACCAAAAGACAGAAAAAATAAGACAATATAAGGCTGTTTTATACTTCTTGTTGCACTTCTTTTATCACCCACTGAGTGACAAAAAGTTGTGCAACTTCCGTCTGCACTCCCACTGCGATCCCCCGGTGACAGCTGTCCTATACATTGCTCCCAGTAAGCACCCCGAGACTCGGACGTTGCGGCTCGGAGCGTGTGATTGGTMTGAACTTCGTGGGTATACTTTATATGAGCAGAGGGAGAATTTATGATAATTTATGGCCACCGCGTCTGCAGCACATTTATACTCGGTCAGGAAAAAGACTCTCTGAAATAGTGCAATCAACAAACCGCTTTTGCACGTCTTATTGAAAGTATAAAMGTAGCTTAAGACCACAGCGATCCACAGCTGATCTATTGTTAGTAAAAAAGAGAATATGGCTAGTTTTTGACAAAACTGTGCCTACTCGATTTACCTTTTCATCTGATAGAATTTCCTTGCTTCTGCTACAAATAGACTAAGCCCAGTTTTGTTTCTGCGGCAGCCACTTTGCAGTGGCAGAACTGTAAGTTGGAGAAAATAGAATTTACAGATTGTACAGAGAGCGGGGAGGAGACAGCAATAATTTGAACTGATTGCTACATTTTTAAAGCCTTCCCATCAGTGCACTGTAATTGGCTGGACTCTGCGGACCAGAAATGTGTCTAAAGAAGCAAAACAAAAAAACTCCAAGCAGATGATTGTGAATGATTATGAACATGCAGGACAGTGGCCCTCAAAGACCAGGGCTGTAGACTACTGTGCTAAAGCCATAAAAATGATTCAATGAACTTTTGCGATACAGATTTTATGTACACTTTTGTCTCAATTCACGCCTAAAAACCGAATGGTCCAGGTAGTGTCATATGTTGCATCAGGTCTTCATTCTTTTAAACAAGACTCGGCATGCAAACTGCCCATTAGGYATTAGCTGTCTGCTCTTTGTCATTTGAGAAGCTAAGAGCTGAAGCCTAATGCGGTCCTTTAGGACAGCAGCCTGCACATAAACATCTCTGCTCACACACACACACTGACTTCTACACATTTCATGGTCCTGCCCTGTTCAGCCTTTCCCCTTTGTCAGCTGTTCCAATTAAATTACTCACAGTGCAAAACATCTGAATAATGGATGACCAGCATTTTATCTATGCGGCACTCACCTTTTTATTTGGTTGTGTTTCTTTCAGCTCCTRTTAAGTGCCATTTTAAACTGAGAAGGGAAAGTTGTATTGTGTAGCTACTATTGTTGGAGCTCTTCCGGACTTTGCAGGTGGCAAAGTGTTTCCCCTGAAGTTAAAGCATCACGTTTCTCTTTCTCCCCTGTTCTTCCACTAGTAAATTGTCTTTTTAAATGTATTAAGTTTGGTTCACACGAGAAGATAATTGGGCAGATTTTTGACCTAATTTTGCCCTTATGACAATCTTAAGGACACCCCAATTGTCATGATGACTCTAAAGATAATCTTGAGACATATTCCTGCTGTGTGTGGTATGTCAAGTGTGATCTAGTCGACTCAGAAGGATGTTGCGACTGCTTCTACCTCAAATCAGGGAGATTCAACATGTTGGATTGTCTTGGCCCAGTATACTTGTGTGGTGTTCACCAAGGGCAAACAAGYTGTTTGTGTAGTCAGTCAGAAAATGAGGTAACAGAAACATGCAAGGGAATCCAAAATACAGAAGACAAAACAACTGCCATGGGGCACAGGAAAGTGCACAGAACATCAGAGACGTCTTTTAGTTTTGTTTTTTCCACAAATATCGCCATTGCTTCTTCCTCATTTGACATGTTTATTTACTCTGAACTCACATTTGATCTTGAGAGGTTTTGTGAGATTTCCCATCTGACATCTGAATGTCTGAGTAAAATTTGTTTGGCATGTGGTCTTAGATGTTTGACTGTACGCCACACACTGTAGGACCAAACCTGTTATATCTATGATTTTTTTTAATCGTCGTGTGTGAGGTCCCTCAGGTTTCAAAAATCGACCAACAATTTTAAAATATTGTGGCGTGAATCAGGTAATTTTTGTCAGATGTTACTCACTGGCCTCAGGCAATTACTCTTTTGTGGTAAAGACAAACATCTTGTAAAGACTTTTGGTTTTAGTTGCTCTTTGTACAAGCAGCACGTGACACGGACGGATAAAGCCATGAATACAAAGCAAAATAAAAAAGGTTAATGTTGAACACAAAAAAGTGTTTGTGTGTCAGAAATGCATTTCGTGTTTAGTTTGACCCATATTTTGCTTGAAAGACTCCTCACTCCCTGTGTCCACAGCACCCTTTTGTGAAAACGGCGACGTCGAACCGTCCTCTGTTGGAGCTGGTGGCTGAGGCCAATGCTGAGGTCATGGAGGAAATTGAAGACAATAGAGAGGAAGGAGAGGACGACGACATCATGGAGCTCACTGAGGTACCACAGCTTCATCTTTTTATTTTCTGAATTAATACTTTTCAGTAACATCCTTGGAAGGTATTTAAGACTTTAAAATGCTACGTTGTCATCACATTCTGCATAATAGGACAGTTATTATTATATTTTTGTACTAGCAAAACCAATATTGTACTTTTGTGGTCTCAAATTGAAACAGATGCGTAATCAACATCTTTCATCTCAAAAATACACCATCTGCCTGTTGAATGTCCTTGCTTGTTGACTCAGTCAAGCTGTGTTTTTTGGTTAAGCACAGCCTTCCTTATGATGGATTTATGACCAGTTTTCAGAGGCCATTCACAAATCCACAAATGACATAAAATTAGAAAGTAACGGCACAAGAATGTGGTCAACACAAACAAAAGAACAGTAGCCGGAATACTGGCTCTCACTCACACCCACACGTGGTTAAATTTAGGTGCCACTTTTAACCTCGCTCCTGTGTGGAAAACAGTCTGCAGCTCCCGATGAAATAAATTTTTAAGGTTGCTCATTGTTCTGATACTCTACTCTGACCTTAAAAATAGAACCCTGTGKTTACCAAGCAGCCATAAAAGATTTTGCTCACAAGGAAGCCAAAAGGAATGTGTCAAGTGCTTTAACTCCATGAATCATAAATTGTTGGTGTTTAGTCAGCCACTAAACACTTATTACTGTGGTCATCCTTACCTTGCTTATAGGTTTGTAGATCAGGTATATGTGGACAATGCCTTCACAAAAAAGCTTAAGGTGTTAACATTTCAATAGAAGGCAAAGCTTAGAATAAAAGATGGGAGCTAAATGACCATATTTTAAATAAATCTGGACTACTGATGACTGATTTATGAAGCCAGTTTGTTTGGTTTTGAACCATTAATAAAACCGTTAATTATTCRTAGACTACAATTGCCTAGAAAGAAAAGAACCCTGAGGCTTGACGCAGATCCAATCTCTGAATAAGTTATAATCAAACATATTATATAATATAAATGCCCTAAGATGCCTACTTTCAACTTAAAAAATGTATGAAATAGATTAATGCATGTTAAACATAAATGCTTGTCTGTTTTATAGTAACTGGTACTGTAACATTTTTGTAATGGTAAATATTAGGACTGTCATTTAGACTGCCATCTCAGTCACATTTGTAGTTGCTATCCAAAYGAAACGGGACTGAACACATTCCATTTTGACAAAGATTAAGTTACTTCACTGGAATTGGAAGGCTTTAACAACTTCCATTAGTGTTTGGGCCAAAAGCAAAGGTTGAATACATTAACATTTGGGAGGACACCCATGACTGAAAGCCTTCAAACTTCTAATGTTTTGTCACGCAAGAAGTGCATAACAATGCCTCCCTGTTCCTTCAGTCTCCAGACAAGGAGCCATGTCATCGAAGTCAGACCAGTTTGGAGGGAGACCAGTCCCCAGAYATCTCAAGCCCCACCACACCCTGCTCAACTTCCCCGACGCCTTTCCCCAGGAGAGGGGCTCAGTCAGAGTCACCCCCAGATGACCATCTACACTCAGTCATGGGACTTCCTGGTTCTCCGTCACGCCAAATTCACTTTCAAGGAGATTCAGAGGAGGTGGGCGACAGGCTGATTGATGAGGGTGTTCTTGAGGTGGAGAAATCTGAGAGTGAAGCTTCGACTAAGACTTTCAGTTCAGATTCAGGTATTGAAGATGGGAAGACTACCCCAACACTGGAGGACGAAAAGGTGCTTTTCGTTTTTTAATGTATTTTTTTACAGGTGTGCATATTTTGAAATAATGATCAATCTTTTTTTCCCCACCAAGTTTGTTGTAGAGACTCCAGAAGCTACTAAAAGGTCACAATCTCTCCCTGAAAGTGAGAAGTCAAAAYGTGTTAGTGCCACCATAGATCATTTGACAGAGGATGAAAGCAACTCTGGGAGTCAAATGGAATGGCCGTCTCCAAACTCGAGTCGTTCTGTCACTCCCGCGCCTACTCCCACGCCSTCCTTCGCTACCACACCAGTACCCRTGGCCAGACGGGGCCCAAATGACAACAAAAGTAAGGGCACTGCGGAGCGAGCATCARTGGAAGGAAACTCTGGGTCCAACTCGCCTCTTCTGAATGGAAGGAGTAACAACAAAGTGTACAAGCAYACAGGCAGCCTTGCATCAGAGCTAATGGCACTCAGCACAGAGCCCGTCTCCGTGTCTGCAAGGGTGAGACCTCTTGGAGCAAACTGTGCTCTTGTCAATACAAAAAAAAGTTGTCATTTGTTAGTGAAGAGAAARAAACAAAAAATATGTTTAATAGTTGATGGAGACAAAAAAAAATCTTGAAAAATTCCTTAAATGAAAAAATTGTTACAAACTTTTTTGGCAAAACCGAACTGGTTTTTTTAGTGCTTAAGACAGAAAGGCAGCTGAGTGCATCGAAAGGAAAACCCCACCTTGGAAAAAACTGCTTCTCTGCACCCACTGAAGACTGAAACAGCCTTGTGTTGTTTTGGGGTGTGGGTGTTAACAGTCTGACAGAGGATTGCCTGTCTCCTTTTAGCTTTACACCACATATTACACACTAGAAAAAACGAAACAGAGAAATCCAGTTTTTGGTGTGTATTAAAGTTTGAATATGTTTAATCTAAATTACAGAGATCAATTTACTTTAGTTGAACAATTTATCCCTGACAGTCTTAAAGGGGCAATATTATGYGTTTCTTAGGCATACATTTAAATTCTATACCATAATAAAGTTTCTATGTCATATTTAGTTGTTATTAAAATGATGTTTTTATGTCTAAATAGAAAATAAACTTATCTTCTCATCACTTCCTCTTCTAAATGCCTTGAAATTGGCTTCTGTCTCTTTAAGAACCACCTTCCACTTCTGCCCATTTCGGTGCGGGAGGGTGGGTGTTGGTGCTAGCGAGGGGGGGAGGTGCCATGATGCGGTTTACTTGGCATCTGAAAATACATTTCCTCAAAGGTATTTTGAATCTGAAAAGAGCTTCGTAAGAAGTAGTTACTGTAGGAGCTCAGCAGACAGTTTCAGTTTCACTTTCAGTTTCACCCGAGAGCCTGCAGGAGTCATGGGCAGGGTGTGTGGGGAGGGGGAGGAGGAGGGGGGAGGCGCTCCGCCTTGAGGAAGTTCGGCTTAAAGACACGTCCCAGAGGCGTTTCTGGTCCCAAAAGGCGTTTCTGGTCCCCACCYGTCGTTTTGCTCCTCAGCATGGCTTCCTAAAAATGCTGCAGGATTTCTCAAACATGCATGAATGAGTCAGAGCAAGGCTTTGGGCATGTTTTTATGCGAGTATAATRTAATACGATATAAAACTCAAAAAMGTAGATTTTACATGATATTGCCCCTTTAATGAGGAATGGAAGATAGAGAAGCCAAATRTGTAACAAGTTCCATTCATCGAGACCAATAGTGTCCTTTGTGAGGGCACAGTTGCTCGTTCACTGTTGTGAATAGAAGTTTCTATTCAGCTCATTGTCACTCAGTAGCTTCTGGAGGCAATGTGACAGACTGATTGAAATCCCACTGACTGCATGAAGTCATGTCTGTTTGTGGAACTTTAATTTTACTAGAGTAGTCTGCTCAGTTTTGAATTCTGATCTACTGTTTCTTTTTCTTCTTTTTTGTCTAATACCAAATGATTTCAGGAGTGTCAAACTCCTTTTCAGAGGAGTACATGAGCATTATGGTGGCCCTCATGTTGACATTTCATATTTAACTTTGACTAACCACTAAACGGTCCTCACCAAGGCTAAGCACAGCAGACAAACAATAACTGAGCTCTATGTGGTATTTTGTGCATAGAACCAGTGTTTTAACATGCCCTCATGTAAACACTGAGACATTCTGTTTGACTGATTAAAAAAATACAGAAATACTACTAAAAGAAAAAGTAAGACCTTTTACTCACTGAGTTGTGATGAGTAGCTGCCATCTTGACTTTCTGATGGAGGATTCCCTCTGGAGGGGCATTTTTAGTTGAAATTTACAACTTGTAAGTGGAAAAGAAAAAAATTGTATAGGTCTTCTGGACTGGTTCTTCTCTAATGAAACGTTTCGTCTCTCCTACAAAAAACTTCTTCAGTCTGAGAGTTTCAGGCAAAATTCAGGCTTTTAAGCCCTGCCTCCATGTGACTGATACTCACATCACATGGCTATCGTTGACACCTAATTAACACTTATTGTTAACAGGGGGTGGAGTGATACTGGCAATAGCCGTGCTGTAGGAGGGGGACAACTGAAAACGGAGGCCTCCACCTCTGTTTAATGATGGACGGTCTTTCTTCACAAAAATGGCTTCTTTTACTCCTCTCTCAAACCAACGTTCCTCTCTATCAAGAATGAGAACATCCTCATCTCTGAAAGAGTGACCGCTGGCCTGAAAATGAGTGAAAACTGCAGAGTTCTGGCCATTAGACGTAGCTCGTCTGTGTTGGGACATTCTTTTGAACAGTGGCTGCTTTGTTTCCCTGATATATAACTGGTCGCAGTCCTCCTGGCACTTAACAGCATATACAACATTGCTCTGTTTGTGCCGGGGCACCGGATCTTTGGGGTGAACCAGCCTTTGCCGTAATGTGTTTTGGGGTTTGAAAGTCACTGGGACATCATCTTTAGAAAATAAACGTCTCAGTTTCTCCGAAACACCCGCAACATATGGAATAACCACTGGTTTGGGTCTGGGTTTGGGGTCTTCATTTTCACCTGAAGGTTGCATGGAATCCTGTCTGTGTTTCCTGTCTGCTTTCAGGAAAGCCCAGTCAGGATAACCACACTGCACCAGGGCCCGTCGTGTGTGTGATTTCTCTTTCTCCCTGGCTCCTGGGTTTGTAGGGACACTGTCTGCTCTGTGGTACAGAGTCCTGATCACTCCTAACTTGTGTTCCAGTGGGTGGTGGGAGTCAAAACGCAAATATTGGTCTGTGTGGGTGGGCTTACGATATACGCCAGTTTCCAACCGTCCTCCATCCGAAACCGAGACATCTCAATCCAGGAACGCCAACCTGCCATTTTTTACATCCTCTYGTGTGAACTTAATATATTCATCCACAGAGTTGATGTGATCAGTGAAATGTTGGACTTCCTGGGCTTTAATTTTAACCCAGCTGTCGTCAACATATCTGAATCAATGGCTCGGTGGCACCCCTGAAAAGGACATCAAGGCTCTCTTTTTCACTTCCTCCATGTACAGGTTTGCAACAATAGGAGAAACTGGGGATCCCATGGCACACCCATGTTTTTGCCCCCCGTACGTGAAGTACGGGGGGCAATATTACTCCTATTATAATTTCCCACTTGTAAGTGGGAAATTACCACTTCCCAGTAGAACTGGGCTGTAGCAAAGTATCTGGTGAAAATGCAGCAAATTGGAGATTTTACAAGGGATATTTTGCCAGCTGCTGGCTACTTTTTAGTCCTGTGCACCTTTTTATTTACATTTTTTGTAGATGTGCAGTTTGGAATGGATATATACAGAGGTGGTTCATGCATTTCTTGGTTTTCTAACACCCTCAGGGAAGAGTAGTCAGCTGATCCTTCGAAGATAGTGTCTGTGTGTTTTTTATGACACACAAGAAACACGAGTTTTTCTGGCAATGAAAATGTGTTTGCTGTGGTGGAGAACAAATATACAACAGAGAAAGGTGCAAAAGCAGCATTCACTAGCTGTCATTTGTTACAGGAGTCTCACAGGAGACTGTTTGCTCAGCTGTCAGTGAACAGTAGCTGTAACAAAGCGCTCCGACTGTCCTCTGTATGGAAAAGTGTTTCCTCGATATTTAAGCTTGTTTTCCTTTCTCCAGCCCTCATACAGTACTGTAAAAATCTTGAATCAACCAAACAACTCTCATTTCTGTATGTGTTTGCTCCCAAAGAGCTACACCCTGTTCAAATAGATTTTTATCAATCGTTTTCTAGCCTTTCTGAAAGTTTTCATTGGAGCAGGGACTACTTTTACCTCACCATGGCATATCCTTTAAAGAAAATCATAAACCCTCTCCTTTCATTTCTGTTACCATTGTCTACTGATTCTGATTAAAGCTGAGGTAAGAAGACAACATACTGTAAGCAGTACGTGGTCAGTCATGACAACAGTTTCTGTTCAGTCACAAGGTGGGGTCACTCCATGACTCATTAACATTTCATTGTAAACAAAGGATGACATCAATACATTAGTATACATTTTTTTCCCCCTTTATAACTCCTAATCCAGGTTTGTTTCATTATCTGAAGCCCAAAAGTGAAATCATTAGTTCCTGGTTCTGCTGGAGAAATACAGGTTTAAGCAAAAAGTGGGAAAAAGAAGTTTAGTAGATGACATTATATTTTTAGTTACTTCCTGCACTTTTAAGATTCTACTTGTTCACTACTCATTAGAAATAAACTTGACCAACAGGAACATTATATAGTGTGAGCACATACATCCAAGCAGGCTGTGTTTCCACATGATGATAAAACAACATATGGAGTCAAAAACTCAAACAACTTGAGAGCTACTTTAAGTTAAATTATTTTAGTTTCAGCTTTCTTAAACACGTCTTGGTTACAATAATGCTTRTGTTTTTTTGTGTGTTTGTTTTTTGTGGATAACGTCACTAAATTTGGACAAATATGGAAATTGATGCCTGGATTTGTCAGACTTATTAAACAGATGGAAAAGTGTAAAATGCAGGTATAAACGAATGCCTGAACCTCGAGAACTTACTCCTCTCTGTGCTCCAATCAGGCCTTTTCCAGTAAGACTCTAAAGCGGACGAGGAAGTTTGTCGTTGATGGCGTGGAAGTGAGTGTGACCACCTCCAAAATCATTCGGGATGATGAGAAGAAAGATGAGGAGATGAGATTTCTGAGGTATTTATTTACACATATGCTTATGACACAAATATTTCAACAATTGCATAATCTGTATAAGTGATACCCATCTGGATGAATGCAAGTTGATATGGATGCTCTGAGTTGTCATGAGCAACTTTTCTAAATTCTTAGCACAGACTGTTCAGACTGCAGTGTCACAAGTAGCTCATGGATGATTTTTTTTCTTCCTAGTATTTAAGGCACACAGTTTTTTAAAGCTGCACGCCTTTGAGATCAGAAGGAAAAAACACTTATTAAAAAAAGGCCTATATATTGCTATTCTTCTGGCAAATAGTTCTAAACACACGTGTGCCACCTAGTGGTGAGAATATAAACTGTATGCATGACTGCAGTGAAAATCTGCAGGTGTGTAGTTCTTGTAAAACCATAYGAGACTCAATTTGACCAGATTTGATGCAGATTTGGTTCCCAAACTTTACAAAAATACAGCAAAGAAAACATACCATGCTCAAGATTTATTCCCATCTCCTTACCTTCAACATGCCCTGACATTTCCACAAAACATTGCTTTAAATAGATCTTTTCTCATTGTTTTGACACATAAATTTATCTATAAACTTTAAGTTAAATTATTGGTTTGCTTCTCAAAAATAATGACTGTATAGAAATGTGTTTTTAAATATGTTTTGTGTGCGTGTTTAGACGGCAGGAGCTGCGGGAGCTTCGTCTGCTGCAGAAGGAAGAGCAACGAAATCAGGCTGATCTGCACGCCAAACTGGAATCCCAGAAAGAACAAATGCTGAAACGCTTCGATCAGGAAATGAATGTGAGTTGACACTTAAAGGACGTCTTAATTATATTACATTCAGGTTTAACTGATATCCCCAGCAGTTTGTTGATGTCACTTTAATTTGGAGCCTGTAGTTTAAAATTGTTCTCAACATGAGTGTTGAAATCATTTGTTTTTAATATCTTCCCCATTTGTGTGTCTCAGGCCAAAAAGAAGCAGCATGATACGGAGCTAGAAAACATGGAGAAGACCCATAAGCAGACTATTGAGAAAATGGAGGCAGACCACAACGTTAAACTCAAGGAAGAGACCAAGCGCATCAAGGCCGAGCAGGAGAGAGACTACCATAAGTTCCTGGAGCAGTTAAAACATAAGAAGAAAGAGGTACATTTGAAACTTTGTGTGATAAACCATGTCTTTTATACTCTTTATGGTGTTGTCAGTCAGTGGCGATAAACTGCAGAGCATGAGAAGACACAAACACTGCACCGTTGTGTTCTCACCTGATTTGTGATTTTAGGTGAAACAGTCAGTTGATAAGTTGCCGCGAAACCAACGGAAAGAGACCATGAAACAGATGATGTTGACTTTTCAAGAAGACAAGTCAAAACAGGTTTGTTGGCTGGTCAATGTGCACCTAAGTTCATGTTTTTTCCTACTAACTGAACCTAAATGAGCCCAGCGTGTTCCATTCTTCAGTTTTAAGAATGCTATATATTTTTCTTAATTGGACTTCCCATCCTCACCTTCCTCTTTGCTGTGCTTTTCAGGAGGAGACATTTTTAGCAGCTCAGAGGGATTACCTGAACACAACACTGAAAAATATGATTGCAAACAACAAGAGAGACATCGCAGAAATGGAGAGGGATTGCCTCAACAAGAAGCAAGAATTCATCAGAGGTACAGTATCTGAACGTCACCACTGACTTGACCCTCAAGCTTTTTTTCCTTTGTTGCCACCACCAACCCATTTTTGTGTGATAATTATACAAGATTGTTGCATTTTTTTTTTTTTTTTTGTATTTGGGCAACTGATTAGCACGTGAGTCTGCATCATGGAGCATGGAGGAGAACCATCTTTATGAGAAGCACCAGTTAATGAAGCAGCAATTGAAGGATCAGTACTTCCTGCAGAGACATTTACTTCTAAAGAAGCATGAGAAGGTACAGTACATTATCCACTGTTAAAATCAAGTCTGAGTCACAATAATAGTTGCYGTTTTCCCAAGTACAGGTTAAACATCTTCTGTTTTCTGGGCCTCTGCAGGAAACCGAACAGATGCAGCGCTACAATCAGCGAATGATCGAGATCCTGAAATCTCGGCAGCAGCAGGAGAAGAACCGACTGCCTAAGATTCAGCGCAGTGAGGCAAAGACTCGCTTAGCCATGTTCAAGAAGAGCCTCCATATCAACTCAACAGGGAACTCCTCAGATGACAAAAAGAAAATCAAAGAGGTTGGATGAATCTCTTTTTTTCCCTCCTCTATAATTAACAATAGGTTAATTTTTATTTCATAACGACTCCCTGTGTTTTTTTTTTCTTCCAGTTTTCTCTGCAGGAGGAAAAGCGGCAAAAGGCAGAAAGACAGTTTCAACTGCAAAAGCATGAAAACCAGATGCGAGAGCTGATTGGTCAGTGTGAAGGCAACATCAGAGAGCTGAAGCAGATGCAGGTGAACGAGTCAAAGCTCTTCAGTTTGGCCTGTTACTGCAGATTATGGAACATGCTTATATGTGTTATATATATTTCCTCTTTTAGAATGAAAAATGTCACATGCTGGTTGAGAATGAGACTCAGAGGCTCAAACATTTGGATGAGCAACACAACCAGCTGATGAAGGAGTGGAAGGACGAGCTGAGGATCCGAAAGAAGGTGCTCATTTCAATACATTCCATTACTATTACATGTAATATGCATAAAACCAAATCTAGAAATTAGTCTTTGTTCCACTGGTGGGCAAAAATGGTGCAGTTTCTGCCTTTAAATTAGCCTGGCCCTTGCCTTCCTACGCAGTTCTGCTCAATTCTAGTTTCCCTTCACTGCTCCGTCTGGGACTTCTCCCATTGACAAGGATTTCRCTGGCAGATTTTTAGCCAAACCAATCAGAACAGAACGTTGATTTTCTGTACAGTGTCTGCTTGTTGTTTATTTTACCTGGGCCAATCAGCAAACAGAAGGAGTTTTGAACGACGTCAATTTTCTGCGCAGTGTCTGCTAGTTAGTTTAGCATACGGCAGTGGAGGGAGTGAATGAAGCCAGTCTGTGTTGATGAGGCTTCCAAATTAAATAAAATTTGTCTGACAAAGCAGCAGCTCTCATTTAGTCGTCTCGTTCGGCTCGGTACTTCTCTCCTCTCAGTAGGGTTGTTTACAGCACACGCAATTTCCGGTTAGCTTCTTAGCTTAGCCAGTGACACACACACACACACACACACACACACACACACACACACTTCAGCAGAGGCCACACCTCCAGCAGCAGTCACTTCTCTATGACCGCGAGTACAGACCCTCTGTATGAAGCAAAGTGAAGGACAAGGGTCTGGTTTTTACCAGGCTACCTTTAAATGTTTATGGACATTTCCAGACGCCACTGGGGGCTTTTTTTTTTTAAACCAGGGTGTCGGACAACTTCTTCCCATTCTTACCTTTAACTTACAATAAACCTTGTAAAGAATGTTTATTTTAAACGGTGTTTCAGTGAAATAATATTAAATTTAATTTTTTTTCCCTCCCCTCCAGGCTATTGAATACGAGCTTGATGTTAAGAAAAAAGACCAGGAGGCTTTCTTCAGGATGAGTGAGAGTTGTGACTGTTCGGACCCCAGCTCTACTCAGAGACTCTCCAAGTTTGTGCCTTACTTTGACTCCTCCACCATATGAACACAAATACTGCAGTGATGCACAGTATTTACTTCCCACAACACACACACACACACACACAGGCATGTGTGTTCTAGATGCCTGCTGCCTCCATTATTTGTTTTCTCTGTATTGACAGAACTCCTGTTGGATTTCTACATAATTAGTGAATATTTATGTTTTAACTTATGTTTGAAAGCTTCTCTTTAAAATAATAGGATTGCTAATTTTCTGCTCCCGTTCTGCTCCTGAATGCATCATTTCTCCCTTTTTAAATCTGCTTCTTCATGCCCTCGAGGTATGCATGTGGATGATAGGAAGCAGTTATTTGTTTAGAAAATCAAACCATGCCAAATTTATGTTTCAGTGTGTATTTAGGAAACATCTGCATTATAGTTAGAATGATGCACAACCAGGACAAAAACTATTGAGTGCTGTTAAACTAGCAATGAATCACTTTTTGTTTACTCCAAACATGATTTACTGACTCCCCCCTCATTCTTGTTTGGTTTGACTCATTTTATCCATAAACTCTGATGAMTGTTACATAGCTGCCAAATTATTTATTAATTACACATTTAAAACATTCAGAAAGAGGCTGYACATCTTTTAATTAAGTCAAATATTTCTTTGTCTAGTATGAAGGATGGGCTTTTAGTTTTTCTATTTCTTTTTGAAGAAGGTTAAATCCAAAACTAGAATTTAAGATATTTCGTAATAAATATTTTTGCTTCTCTTATTTTATCGAACAAGGGAATTTTCTGTCATGCAGATGTTTTTTTTTTTCTTTTTTACTGTATAATCAGTTACACTGGATGGGAACTGACAAAGCCAAAGCATAATACTGTTTATGTTGTACGAGTGATTAAAAAACTATTAAGTGTACCATTATTATATCAAGTGCAGTAAATAACTGCTTGTTAACTAAAGTGCAATATTCTATGTGTCTTCTAGGTTTACAGAGGTTTTGTTTTCTTAAAGGTTGCTTTCCTTTGCACTGAGAGAGAAAATGATATAAAAAATTCAATAAAATAAATTTAAAAAATGTGACATTTAACAAAGAATCATACTTTAAATACAATTTAGAATTTTTGTTCCTTCAAAACTAATAATTTGTGGGCTTTTTTTCCAATATTGTATTTGAACCAAAGGTCTACGTCTTTTTAGTGTTGTGCAACTATTCAGTTTGCTGTTTAATCCTCTACTGAAACTTGTTCCCACGTGGAGAGAAAGTAGTTTAGAGCAGTTTGGCCTGAAGACGTGCATCAAAACTGGTACAGCTTAGTGTCTCACTTGTTTTCTGAAGAGTATTTAATTTAAATAAGGAACATCTCTTTTTTTTGTCATGTTTAAGGCTTTATGTCTTCCTCTGTGCCTCAGTTTACGTAATGTTTGTGTGGAGGGGGTATGAGTGTGAATGAATTTGTATCAGAAGGAACCACTGATGTAAATAGCTTCAATAAAAGGCCTTTTTTTCTAACCATGGAATTGTTGTGAAATTTTTTAATATGTTGCAAAAGACTTTTGGGTTTTTCTTAAAGCACTATTTAGTTTTTAGTGAAGCATTCAAATCTTGGTTAAAAAGGACCCAGCCAGAGAAAAATATATTTTTTAAGAAAGAAAATTTTAATGAATTTTTTGTTGCGGCTTGCCGTCTTAAAATAAACATTTATGAAATATTCTACAATGCAAACCATACAATAAAACTAAATTCGAGTAATTATTCAAATCATTCAAAGTGGGATTTTTGGAAAACAAAAAAAAGTAATGATTATATTACCCGCTGTAGACTCAGCACTCTGGTCCTAGCCCAGCTTAAGTTCAATTACAAATAAGCTTTCTTCAAACAGGTTTATCTACATTGGTTYCCCAGAATGTCGCTTCAAAAAAACTTATTTATTGAAAGCTTGAATTTTGGCAGAAAATAAAAGCAAATTGAGACACATTTTAAAAGAAAAATCTGATTTATTTATTTTTTTACTAGGCAAAAGCAGACTCAGTGTAAACCAAAGTATTTGGCAAAAAAGTAAAACAATTACAATACTGAAGGACAACACTAGTCAGTATGTTTGCTCTCACAGTTCACTGTACCATTCTGCTTTTGGCCACAGAAAATGCACTTGGACAAAATTATTCTGAGTACATTTCCCAGTAAGTTACATACTGTCATTTCTGTATAAAATATGGTTTAAAATTGGTGAAACATTATAGCAACTAGAAGCAGAACAAGATCAAAGTTACAGCTTTTAGCCTTGTCAGGTTTTTCATTTGTAAAAGCTACTATGGAGCTTCTAGATAATAAAAAAGCAACCAGTTGCTTAATTTAATGTTTTTAAGTGACATACTTTTCATTTCATAGACACACTCCTTGGAAATAGTCATAAACAAATCTGTTAATTATCAAATCAATTCTAAAATTCCAAATCCAAACCATTCAGTACTCAGAAAAAAAATCTACTAGATGGACCAAAGACAACAGTTCAGATATGACTCATAAAAATCTGCTATACTGACTATGCTTGAGACCAGTCAAGCACTGATGTAAAATATTTTGACACAATGATCATCACTTTGTAATATTGAGCACCAAACCTCAAGCGTTTGTTCACTTAAAATATTGTAAATCATTGCASAAACGAATGAAAATCTTCAAATTTTTAGTTGAGTGCTCTGTGATTCACATTTCACAAATTTCTTTTCCACTTGAGATGATCTGTTTACATTTAAAAAAATCTTTCACACAAAGTTCCTTCACTCCCATAGTTTTGATCTGTATATCTCATCATTACAAAGTGAGGATTGATCTGAATATGTTGTACCAATAAAATAAACAAGTTATATGGCAAATAGAATGAATGGGAAAACATATACAGTATAACAATGCATTGCTGCATTCTTTCCCTCCCTCTTTTTTCGGGTGTGCAAACATTTTACCTCACCTGAATTGACTAAAAGTGCACATATGGTAAAAGAAAATCTGCTAATATTATTAGATTATAGACTTTAAGGAAAAACACTGATTGCAGAAAACTCAAATGTAGCTCTCTAGAGATGCAGACTGCATGTATACATAGCAAATKTATGAAAGTTATTTTAATGGTACTTGAAAGCTCTGATGAAGTCAATAAATACCCACAATAGGATCATGTGCAGCCTTTGMAGAATCTACTACTTTGAAGAGAATAGTTATATTTGAACTTCGAAACCTGTGATACGGTAAGTCTGGATGTGAAAACGATTGAACTAAGTCTACATCTACAGCTGCATACAGTTTAATATCTACTTTGCATATATTTTGAGGCACCATAATATAAAAGGCATAGGTACACTGACTGCATTTCTAGTGTCTGGCCTGAGAAATAGCAACACGAACACTGACATAGCCACAAAAGCAAGGTTTCCAACAATTTCTAGTAAAACAAACCAAAAATAAGTAAACATAAAAAATAAAACAAACAAAAAAGAAACTGTCAAGTTATTGCTGGTTCAGTTGGTAAAACATTTTTAAACAGAACAAATAAGAAAAATGCCTTTAAAATATATAAATAAACTACGTGTGTGTTCCATTTATGCTCTTGAGTTTGAAGTCATAAATTTTTACTGTAACACCTTCAAAGGTTTTAAACCAGACTAGGAACATCAGACGTTCCTTAAAGGAGACACATCATGCTTTAAATCCTTCTTTTTCCACATTTAAATCATTCAGTTTGGCTCTATATAAAGAGGAACTGCAAAGATTTGGTCTGAATTCCTCATTATTTTAACTCCACAAGCCCCTCTTTCACCCCTTTTCTGAGGTGTGTATCAGATGAACTTGTTTTGAGGCTGTCTCTTTAAATCAAAATGTGACCACCATGTAATAAACTGTACTTCTTCTCAGATTGTTTTCCATTTATTTGTCAATGACAAGGTCTTGTACACCCTCCTCATAAGAGAACATGTTAGTGCAGTGACTGAAAGAATTAAGGCAGAAAATGACTTTGGGGCTTGCATTGCTAATTGTTGATGCTGATGACTTACAACATTTAGCAAATCCCACTGATTTCACGACTTACGACAGGAACAATATTTGGGTGTGGCATCATTCACTGATTTGAGTTCCAACTTCAGAGGTAAATAGAACACAACCTGTGTAACAAGAAACTGGATTTTTTTWAATTGTGTAACGGATTTTTCCATTTAATATTTTTTAGAGCATTTGTACAACTTAAGGTTTCTTGCTCAGGTAGTTTGAGGGGATCCAGCCCTCAACTTCTTCTCCTACTTTTTTACAGAACCACCAACCACTGCTATTCTTTTCAAGAACCTCAAACACTGTACCCACCTTGAAGCTGGATGTTTGTTCATCCCCTTCAAAGTCTGCCACAGCTAAATAGATCTCATCCCTACCTGAATCTTTGAGTAAAGGCGGAAGCTTGTCCTTTGGTGGTCCAGGCTTCTCGCTCTTCAGCGGAGGCTTGGGAGGAACCGGGGCTTTATTCACCTTGGACTCCTCTTTCTCTTTGGATGAAGGTGGCTGAACAAACCCTTTAGGTTTTGGGGGAGGAGGCCGGCTGAGTTGTGGGGGTCCAGGTTTGGGGAGTTCCTGGGATTCTTTAAGGGACTTTTGTTCAGTTGGACTTGATTGGTCAGTTTTCTTTGGAGGAGGTGGTCTTTTTGGAGCTGTGGTGGGAGGTCTCTGAGGTGGYTCTTTGTGGGGAGGTACTGCTGGTTTTGCAGGGGGTGATGATCTTTCCTGACTAAGACCATTTGTGTGTTTTGGGGGGAGTTTTGGCTCTTTAGAGTGCTTACCATTATTAATGGAAGGAATATGGGTAGGTGGGGAACCAGGGGATGAACTTGGGTGGGAATCATTACCTGCAGGGATATCACTCTGAGGGTTTACCTCAGCTGATGCTGAACTCAAATCTGCAGGTTTGGATGGCCTTAACTTGCTTCTCAGATTGCTGATGTCCACTTTGTTGTCATCTGCTGGTGGATCAGGTTTGGCAGCTGGGATAGGTTTAGGTCTGATCCCCGGCTTGCTCTTTATAAATGCTGGAGGGGAAGCAGCTTCTGGTTTGTCTTCTTGAACTTCTGATTTAGGTTTCGGTGGCTGTTTGGGTACAGGTTTCAGATTAAACTTCTTCACCTCTTTGGCAGAAATCTTGTGGCCACATTCAAGACCCATTTCATTCCGAAGGGGGAGAGCTTTGCTCTTGTCATCTTTCTTGATCTCTAATGGTTTGTCTGGTTTAAAGGGTGRCGTCTTGGGTGCAACAATGGGCACGATGACCCCTGGTGCTGGGGGTTTTGGAGGCAAAGCCTTGGAATGATCAGATTTTGGTTTCTCTGCCACTTCCAACTCAAAACTCTTATTGATCGACTCCCTTCGAGGTGGCAAAGCTGGTTTCTCCTCAGCTGGAGGAGCTGCTGGGGCTGGTGGCAATGGCCCAGAAAAGGCAGAAATCCCCTTGGTGGCATTGGACTTCCAGTCTTTAAGCTTAGGCCGGGCGCAGGACTCAGGGGCTGTAGTTGGCTCATCTGGTAAAGGCTTGGACCACATATCATTTGTTCCCGAAACATTTGAGAAATCACTATCCTCCAGCCTCAACTTTTCCATCTCATTGGGCAACGGAGCCAGGAAATTGGGTCGCAAGGCATTACTGGTCTTCTTGTACTTATCAATAAAAGTGGCAGGTGCCCAGCCCTCTTTGTCATCTATTTGGATATACCACCAACCGCTTGCATTCTTCTCAATCACCTAATAAAGGAAAAGGTAAAACAAGAAAATATATGTATATATATAGTCCTTTGAAATCAATACAAATAATGTATCTATAATGTTAAAGTTCCATTAAAATTAATTTGACTTTTTTAATTTTGTAAAATAATTTTAGACCATGTCAGACCTACCTCCACTTTGATACCAGCATGGAAGCTAATCCCATCAGGAATGGTGGTCTGAAAATCTGCTATGGTGTAATATTCTTCCTCAACCTGAGGAGGAATGGGTGGCTTGGGCAAGTTTGTACCACGTGGCTGTGTGGGAAAGAAAGATTGGTTAAATTTATATTATATTATATTATATTATATTATATTATATTATATTATATGAACAATTCCTTTGAGACACAATGAGTGCTGTTAACATCTTACAATGGTAAGGTCTCTGCGAGGAGGAGGTCTGTGTCTTAATCCCACCTCTGTGAAGGGAAGAATGTATGTGGCAACAAAATAATCAGCATTTTCATTCACGTTTGAATAAAGTCTTGGGCAATAAAACAATAAAACTGTAGCCTATAGAAATGTCAAATGTATGGAAACTGTTCATATAGTTAGGACATAAAATGAAAARCCAGCCTGCAGCAAKTAAATACTTACTAGTTTTGTTGTTTTCAGAGAAAATAGAAAGTCTATTTTCTTTCTGATTGTTGTCTCGGTTATCCCTYGCTGCATTATTTTGCTGATTCTGTCTGGAACAGGCTTCCAGGTCGTTTGTACTGGCATGAGCAGCAGCACCTGCTGACTGCCGCTGGCTTTGAATATCAGCCTTCTTTAGGTAGGAAGCTGGGGCCCAGCCCTCACGGCCCTGGTACCTGTGTGGATGAGATGRGTACTGGATACGAAGCGGTTCTTACAGAGATACATTTACAAGGAAGAACAAGTGAGCTCACAACTGTTTTACATATTGTAATAGTCTTCRCTTCCTAATATTTGCTGTCAGTTTGTCTTCTACCAGTCAAACTGTCTTTTTCTGTTTATTAAAAATGAATTTCAAGTTTATTAAATTAAATTTCAGCATGCAAAACTATTTCAATTAAAAAAAATTTTTTAGGATGTCCCAGAATCCAATTACCTGATCTTCCACCAGCCTTCCAAATTCTTCTGAATGATCTCAACAATCATTCCTTTCTCAAGATCAATCTCATCCTGGTCCCTGGCAGAGTACGGGTAAATCACAGAATACTTCTCCTCTATATTTAGAAGAAAAGCACAGGTGTTTTAGACATAAGAATGCACATTCCAGTGTGTGACTTTATTGTGCACAGGGGTAGCACAAATGCATGTTACAGGATCAAAGCTGGGAGGCAAAGCAACAAATTTAACATGACTTGGATACAAAAAAAAACTTACCATTTTTTAAAAGTAAGATGAAATATGTGATTTTCTTCACATTTAAATAAATAATAATAATTGGGAGTACTGTTGTTATTATTAGAATGCACTTAAAATGTCAAACTAATGATAAGACAAAAAAATTCTCATCTTAACCTTCTCTTTATAGTCATAAAGTCATAAATTATTTCCCTTATTTAATAAGGCAAGGGGTGAGCAGCAGTTTGTTGAATAAAGAAACAAATGCAGAACAAAAACACAGAGACTTCTTCCAAAATACTGACTGCAAAAAGACAAACTTGTAATAGAAGCAATGCATTGTTTTCTATTAATGTCATTGTACATACTAAAAAAAAAAACATAATAAAATGAAACTATAATGTAAACATTATAGTTAGTATACAATAAAATTGTTTTACTGGATAATTTAAATGGTTAATTTTGCTTTTTATTATACACATGAATGATATTTTATATAACATCGGTACACAATTATCATTGCATGCATTGGCTGCACATGCATGCACATGCCTGGATCCCTCATGCAACATACAAGCATGCACTGACATGAACAAGCAATCACGCTGTTGTTTATGTAAAATCACACACAAACACAATCAGGATAGGAGGGAGAAAGAAAGGCGTGCTCTCCACCTTGCCCAAAGCCTGTGCTGAAAAGATCCCCTAAAGTTCTGCGACGACCCACGTGCCTTGGCAGTGACCAGAACCTCCGAGGCACTGACATCCCAGCACAGTAAGTGGGGCAAAATAGGAAGTGAGTATTACAAACAGCATGTTGTCTGGAGGATGTTTAAAATTAAACCATTATCAGCCAAGATCGATCCAGTGACTTGTCACCCTTTTACCATGTGCTACTATTACTTTTTAAATTTATTTATTTATTTATTTATTTCACTTTATAGCAAGACGTGTGTGTGTGTGTGTGTGTGTGTGTGTGNGTGTGTGTGTGTGTGTGTAATATATATACAGCAGGTAAAATAAGTATTGAACACGTCACCATTTTTCTCAGTAAATATATTACTAGAGGTGCTAATGACGTGAAATTTTCACCAGATGTTGGTAACAACCCAAGTGATCCATACATACAAAGTGCCATTAAGTATTGAACACGCCATTAAGTATTGAACATTAAGTATTGAACACGCTTACTGAAACATTTAATTGGGCACTGTTTCCAGAGGTGATCGTCCAAAAGATGAAGGAAGAGGGAATAAAAAATAAATAAAATCAACTTACAGTTATAGTTGTACTACATTTGTAAAAAAATCAATAAGCAGGGACAAGACGGAGCAAGAAGAGGGTTCAGAAATTGTTTTACAGACAGAGRCAACGGTTTTCTAAAGAAACGAGATCTACAAGCAAACTTTTCCTTTGTACAATATTAGTTATTTTTTGATTTCCAGCTTATCAGTATTGTTTTCTTTGAAGTAGTTAAGGCAAAGAGAAGCATTGATTTGTTTGATTTAGTCAGAATGTGTGATGATGTGTTGCCCAATGAACAGAGTGATGGAGATAGCAGAATGTGCCCAGGAATAGAGAAATTAATTCTATAAATGCYACTGTTTTTACTGTTCCTAACTGTGGGTTGCTAATTTCCCATGCTGCTGCATCAGAAGGTTTTACTTGTTCTGTTTATTCCTTCAAAAATCATTTTGGGTATATAACAGTGATTGAGAGAAACTTTGAAATCGTTTCTGGCTGGGATTGCTGAACTTGTAAAAGCAATTATACCTTCTTCTCCTGGAAGACTGAAGTCATCAGGGTCATCCTGTGCTTCAAGGCAGGTGGCAGGTACCCAACCCTGAGCATCCTCTGAGCTCACAAACCACCACCCTAAGTAAACAGAATACAAACACATTGACTTACAAGGTGTCTTGAGAATTAAATTGATCAACCATCAAGTTGTTAAGATTTCCTCCAGCAGAACTGCATAAAAACATTTTCTGATAACAGAAATGATTGCATTCCAGCCAGGTTTGTAACTGTATTTACAAATATAAATATATTTTCTCTTAAAATGCCTTTTTTTGTTTGAAATATTAACAACATATAAAGATAAGGATAAATATATAGCACTTACCAGATTCATTTTTCTCAATGACTTCCACAACCTGACCCACATGCAGGCTGATCTCAGTGCTCTCCTGCTTCTCATAGTCTGTAACTGCCACATACTGTTCAAGGAGGAGAGGATCTCCAGCCGTGGAATCTCCTGGAGAGAATAAAATAAGTTTATTTTTCTTCCACCACATCTCTCAAGCAGGATGAGAGTGAAATCTCACCAATAAGGAACAAGCCTTCACTCTATCTTCCTCAGAATCTCTGCTAATATTGGCTAMAGGGGTATTAAATTTAAATGATAAAACTGACCCTGTGTGCTTTTGAGGTATTGACATTTAAAGRTTTTGTATCTCAATGACCAAATACAATATGACCTTTGAATGTCAGATTTGATGTGCTCTTTAAAGAATTGTAGTAAAACTTCACTTCAGAATGATTTATTTTATTCAACATCTATCCACCTATCTTAAACTGTATTGCAGTAGAGAGTTAAAGATTTACTTTTTACAAAATACCACCTCAAAAATTCAAAGGTCATCCTTTTTGAAAACAAAACAAAACAAAACAAAAAACTTCCACAGGTAAAAAAGAGCGAAGGCTTTTCTGTGATATGATTAACAAGACATGACAAAGAGCAGGTTAATGTAGGTGATTAAAAATATGACATGGGGGAAATAATGAGCCGACAGTGGAGCACAGGGATTTATGGTGATTGGGAGTAAAGAGTATGATTTCAGAAAGTCGTTAATATAATCATCAACATGGACATGATTTCACCGYAAACCTTTGAAACCCACCACCATTAGCAACAAATCAACAGCGTGAGAAAAATCACCTTCAAAAAGGGAAGGCTCAATTAGCAACCACATGCTAACTTTTCACAAYATAAACCCAAACCTCATAAATTAAAATAAAACTAAGGTTGTAACACTGCACCAGTTTACAAGATCTAGCTTGAGGTGTTAATATCAMCATGGCAAAATATATTTTTTATATATTAGAAAAGCACTGGAAGGCATTAACATGAGTCTACGAGTCAAGTTAAATAATGCATTAGTACTTTATTCCTATTGAGATTATACAAATGATTGTTTTTTAGAACTGTCCTCTACAAAATTGTTTCTGATGTTGAAGCATAGCAAAATCACAATACATTCCTCATTTACTCCCAAAACGTCAAAAATTGCACTCAATTACACTACACAAATACTATATACTATATTAAACCTAGACCCAAAGCAAGCCCAAAGCCTTCCACTGAGCTCAAGCCTGGGGAAAACAAAGTGGAAAAGACCTCCAGCAACCCACCAGGTTACACACACAGCACGGCAAAGCATGACAGTGCGTTTACTACCTCGCTTTATGAAAGTAGTCGCTCTCTCCACAAACCCTGATGAAAAGGAAAATGAATGGAAAAGAAAACTGAAAAAAAAAAAGTAACATGGACGCAAGCTCAGAACAGTTGGTGAACTTAATACTGGAAGAGTATGTATTTAGTAGGAGAAAAAAAACTATTTTGTATTCCAGACTTTGATAAGGTCAACTTCAGTGAAATAGTCTTTACTGAATAGATCTTTAATGGAAAAAGTTTCAAGAGACCTAAACGGTTTTCTGTTAAACCTGTATATATTTTAACCACTAGATGGAGGTAAAGTCATAATATATCTATCAAGGGAAAAATGAGCAATAATAAAAGTATAGCAAAATGAACATACAAAAACACTTCATTATAGTTTTATCTTCTCCATCTTCTACTCCTAAACAAATAAGTCTAATTAGATACACACAAACAAACTGTCTTACCAGTTTTCTTCTTTCCAAAGGCTTCCCTGTTAAAGAAAGCAAACACATTTCCAGTATATTAGTATTGATGTCATGTATCACAAAACAATTTTCCTTTTTAAATATTCTATTAATTCTGGTTTGGAGAAATCCCACTAATTTCCCAAATGTCTTCAAATATCAAAACAAACCCCAAAATGAAAAATGCTATATTAGCTTAACTTGTTAGAGCTTTAGCTGTTTAACAGACACATTAGAGGAAGAGGATGTKCTTCCATCTGAGGCCAGTATATGTGAAGAGTCTCTCAAAAGCTGAGCACTAAAATTTGGCCCAATCCTGAATTCAATACAGCATCTGCTGTGTCTGGTTTAGACATTAGCCAGACAAAAAGCCCATCACTCCTCGGCAGCAGTCATGAGTTGGTTCTACAGCCAGATGCTTCAAAAAAAATCGTTTGTGGCTAATGCTCAGCATTTTTCTCTCTCACTCACTTCTTTCTCTCCCTCTTAGTTATCTGAATATTTCGGCCTCGCATTTTGGCGTTCCATTGTGTCCCTTATTTCCAGCTCACATCTTCCACGTCTACTCAGCTCACTCTCTCATTTCCCTTGATAATTCTTCTTGGTGGTTACTCCTTATCAGTTTCCCTGCATCAACAAGAATGCTCTCAGTTTCATAAACATGGCTCGATTAATAGAACTGCTAATTGTGGCTTTAAATCACAATAAATCTGACTTATAACGCTTGCCCATTATTTTACTAAATTATATATACTGTATACGGTATCAGAGCAAGCTAAATTTGCACTAATAACACTGACCATTATGGAAGAATGTGAACAGCACACAAATATGTTCATCTGGGTGGGTCCAGGGTCACATTTAGCTGAGGACACAACCTGTGTCTTTAGCTAGACGGAACTATTTTTAACATGTTTTGTACAAGCTGGGGTGAGTCCTAAATTGGAAGATTTCAAATATCTGTGAGTTTTGTTAGAGCGAGAGGTGATATATACAGTATGTCCTTGTTGGCAGTAATGAGGACATTGCTCCTGTCTACTGTGGTGAAGGAGCTAAGCCACATGACAAATCTTTTAAATCATTGGTATGTCAATGCCTATCACCTATGGTCATTAGATGTGGCTCATGATTGAAAGAACAAGATCATGGACAAAATATATTGAAGTGAGCTTTCTCTGTAAGGTGGCCAGGCTCTGCCTTAAGCATCCAGTATGGTGGTAAGTGGTCAACTGCACGACGTGCGGTTGTTCGAGGTTCGTTTTCTGTACACACCTTTCATAGCCCTTAAGACCCACCACACAGAGCTCCTGGAGAACCCTTTCTGTTGGAATCTCTGCTCTGAAAAACATCTTCACTCTGATATCTGCTGTTTCTTGGGCCACAAATCGGTCCCAGTTAAAGAGCCACACTTTTTACAGGATGGTTTGGTGACTCTAGATAACCTCGAGTTGATTGCTAGCCCCCATGTCTCTTTTGAGTGTCTACTCTATCAACTTTTGATGGCACGCCACGTGCCTGCCATGGTGGCAACGGGTAATGGGGAATTGGGGTTCGATTATGTAGAGGGAGCCTGGGAAAGAACAAGATCATGCATAATGTATGAGGTTTTTGGACATTCGATTGACTTTATAAATGTCTGTTTCCAGGTATACTCAGCTTCTGGAAGCAGAGTAGTTGAAACAAAATTCAGTGTCCGAGCACATTTCAGCATAAACAAACAAGTACTTCAACTAATACCATATRGTCTAACCACTGCCATATTACATTTTTTATTGTATTGATTTATGCAATAAGTAACATCATTCTAACCACACCTCACAAAACCAGCTTCTCTGTAATTTACATGAGAACACCTCTTTCTTCTTTCAGTCAATCAATTCAGCTTGATCTACCACCTAATTAAAGTTTTCCCCTTACAATACCCCCCCCCAGTTTTGATTTTTTTTTCTTTCTAATTCTTGTCACAACCACTACCTTCCCTCTTCCCCTCCAGATTTCCCCTTTTCTTACTATATTTTCTGGCTTTGTGATTGTCTACTTCCTCTTTCAAATTAACTTCTGCTGTTCTTTTCCCTTCGCTGCTCTTAAGGAAAAGTCTAACATGCCCCTCTCAATGCAGAGGATTTATAGGCCATAATAAATCTGCTTCCACATTGGCTGCTGCGTCTGTGCACCAGGCTTGTTGTCAGTTAGCCAAACAATGGGCTGCACTAATGGAAAGCAGCAATTCAATTTCAATAAAGACAAACCAAGGTCTTTTCTATTTTAGTTACCCTCAAGTAAATGACCCCTTTGTGTCTTGCCCCTCCCTACAAATAATTGGGGATTTGTATGAAGACTTAGGTGTTATGTATCTTTGGCAATCTCTTGAGTGGAAAGATGTGAAACAAAGTAGACTGCTTTAAATCCTGGACAGTGAAAATTAGCCTGAATGACATTATATGGTATACTCAAGTATATTCCAGTTTTTCTGAAAATTACATAAGTTTACCAGCTGCCTCTTGTTGTTCATCCACAAACTAGCAGTGGTGGGCACAAGCCCGCTAAAGCGCAAATCCACTAATTGCGGACCCAAATATTTCATTTGCACTTTTGCAGACTTACTAATTATTATAAAACATTGCACTTTCTAAAATGAAAATGCAGTACCGCTAAAAACTAATTATCTACCAGTCATCATTATCTTGAACAGCAGAAGGTAAGGCTGTCAATGAATCACAACACAAGTGATCTATCCAACAGCACAACTTCCTGATATACACACTTATTGGGTAGGTGTACATCCTTCCTGACTGTCGCTTTGAGCCACGGTTCTGATTTCCCACAATGCTTTGTACAGTGGTTTGCAAAAGTATTCATACCCCTTGAACTTTTCCATATTTTGTCAC